ACAACTAAATATTAGTTTAGTGATTCACAGGATTGCTAAATCCTAGAAACAAAAACGTTTGTACAACATAGTTTTGTGTTTGTACAGTCAACGGCAGACACTGCTATTTTTTTGAACACACCCCTTTCAACTAATTGCCCAATTGCACAGCCTTAAGAGCGTGCATATCATGAATGCTGGGTCTTGTTTGCTTTCTGAGAATCTACTGCACCTACTGGTAACTTGTTTGCCATGTAGCAATAAAAAATATACTAAAAACCTGGATTATTCTGGTTAGTCACATTGTACTGCTATTATTTTGAACAATACTGTATGCGCAGCCTTAAATTGAATTTGGTGGTTTTAAGGTGCCAAACAGGCCTGTGAGTCCTCCATAAAGAAGTACAGTAGATGCTTCACGAGAATCAACATTAACATAAAACTGTTAGGGTTTGTTTTAAAAATCAATTTGTTTATTTTAAATGTTGATGCTTTTGTAAAACACTTTGAATTGCCTCTGTGTGTCCTACCCATCTCTGTGATATCACAGTCTGTGAGCAGCAGCAGGGCGAGGGGATGGACCGCAGAAGAATCTCTGATGAAAACATTCCCATTAGACTTGACTGCACTGAAGAAGGTCAGCCACCGACTAGGGAGCTCTTTTTTTCCTCTGCAACACACAGGAAGATGTAAACTTTGCATACAAATTATGCAAGTCAATAGATGTAGATGAACTTTCGAGCATGTTCAACCTGTTCACTGAAGTTTTTTTTTGAAGCAGCACTGGTCCACTGAGTGTTCGGAAAGTGATATTGTTGGGATGAAAGCGCCCTCCTTTGGTCACGACACCTTTCTTTGCCTAAACAGCAGCAACAACAAAAAAGTGAAAGGTTGCAATTTTCAATTTGTATAGTGTCAAATCACAACATTTCCCATGTTAAAACTGGAAGGTAAACTCAGTCTGCAGTTTAAATATTAACAAAATATAAAATAATAAAACTTGTGTGAAAGGAGGCACAAGTAGGGTTTAAAGATTTATACTAAAAAAATAAAATAAAAAATTACAAAGGAACTGTGTCACTACATAAATACACAAATCACGACATCTAAACTGCTACATTAAATACTTCTCCACATAGGCCCATGCATACTGTAGAGGTCTCATTTCTTAGACGGAGTAGCCAACTGACTGTATAAGGCTGAATAATGTTAGACTCCAAAGAAGTTGTCAAGCACCTGAATGAGGTTGGGATAGAGTCCAGCCAGCATCACTGCTTTAACTAGCTCATCCTCGTTGCTGTGTTCATTGTAAAGAGAATTGTGACGCTGGCACTCGCTGGCACGAGAAACCAGCTCAGTTTCATGCAGGTTCTCACTGAACTGGGAGATGAGACCTGCAGCACGATGACACGAGAACAGGTAATCATTTTGTGAAGCTAACAAGTCAGAAATTAGAAGGCATGCTTTAAAGTTGTAACAGTAGACCCAGACATTGGAAATCCTACATTTTTATATACTTAACCTAAAGCTCTTACATTTTTCTGTAGGGTTTGAGTGGTCAAAGTCACATTTTCTAAGCTCTCAAACTTGTTAATTGCTTGTTTCAAACCAATAGATTCCAACTGTTTATGAGCAGCTGTGCATTTGTAAGACTTCATCAACAGTAAAATCACCAAAGAGTAAAAAGAAGAATTTCCCACCGAGTTTCAAGTCCTGCTGTTGAAAATAAAATTTAGCAGCATCTGTATCATAAAGTCTGCGAGAATGGTGCTTCAAACTAACCATTGATGAATCTAAGGCCGGCCCTAGACAGAGTGTGTTGCTCCAGATAGTCATCCCTGCTCTCTCTGTCTCCATTCCACTGAACTCTCCTCCATCCCAACACAGCTCTACTGAATATCAAATAGTCACTGCAGCTGGAGCCACTCAGATCCTCTTTTGCCTGATGATGGAATAACAATCAGAAGATTATATTTAAGAAACCAAATATGTTATATTTTAAAACTTTGATAGATCAATAACCATACAGGTGTAAAAACACCTCACCTTGTTAACTAGTGCTCTGTTCTGCAGGCTGTTATGGAAGGGGTCTCTGGTCAGACAAGCAGCTATAGACAAAATGGGCAGAGTACATCTGAACATGGCACTCAGGACCAATGCTTTTCCCAGTCGAGGGTCACATGACATACAGGCAATGCGCTCTCCTAAAGGTGTCAGGGTTTCTGTCTTGTCCAGAACTCCTAAAAAAAAAAGTAAACAATGTCATCACTTGAATCCCACTTAGAAACGGAGGAATGTGTTAGGTTAGGCACATAAGATAAATTAAAGTATTAACACACTATTGGGAACATAAGTTGTTGAGAGTCACCTATATTTTGTAGATTTCGGACAGCATCTCTCACAGCCTCTTGCTCTGGACTGTCCAGCACTTGGGATAAGAAATCTACAGCCTCCATACACACAGAGGCCATCACTCAATACGTGAGAAATACATAAAATAATGGGTAAAAAAAAAAAAAAAAGACAATTTTCTTTCAGTACCTTGTTGTTAGGACTGTGGATTTTGGCCTGCAACACCAAACTCTCCAGTGGGGTGCGCAGGATCTCTGGGACGGGGAAGGGAGTCATAGTTTCCAGCTGTTTTTGTGGAAACAAATGATACGACTGTCCTGGTTGACATCGCCCTGCTCTCCCTTTTCTTTGAATGACATTAGAGTGGGATATCCAAACTGTGTCCAGACAGGAGACCTGACAAACCAAATAAAACCGGTTTATTACTCAATTGTTGTTTTACACAGTTCCATCAGAAAGATCTGAAAAGGTTTAAACAAGACTTAAATGTGGCTGGTCTTGCACCAACCTTGGTCTGTGCATCATAATCCTGTTCTTTGTGCATTCCTGTGTCCACCACATGAACAATGTCATCTATAGTGACCGAGGTCTCAGCAATGTTGGTGGTGAGCACAATCTTCCTCTGGCCCACTTGGGGGCGCTGGAACACCGTTTGCTGATCTGCTACCGATAAGCTAGAGTGCACTAGAAGAAAAACATAAGAGATGAAATTATATCTGAGCAAAAGTTATTTGAAGACAAAAAGGAGGTCTTTGTATATGGGTCTGTGCTTTCTTACATGGTAGGATCATCTGTGAGCCTGAGGAGAAGTGGGGCTTCTCCTCAAGTTTCTTCTCAACTGACTTGATGTCCTGCCATCCAGGCAGGAAACACAACACTGCCCCTGAAGCATGAGAGGAAAGGAGTTTTGACACATATGACTGAGGCCATCATCCTAAACACTGCTATAGAAAGGCATCAATAAAAAGGCAAATTAGAGATGCTGTACTGATTACCTGGTTCTCCATGTTTGTCAATGTGCTCGATTACGTCAGCGACTAAATCAAGATCTGGCTCAACCTCAGCTTTTCCTCCCTTAAACTAGACAAAATACAAACTCATGAGACACAGAACAAGAAATAAGAGACCTACAATGCACAATATAATAAAGTAGGATGAGGAAAAGTAATGCAACACATGACAAACTAATAAATCCATCACCCTTGAGTCTCACCTGGTTGTATGTCTCTTGGGCTGGTAGTGGGCGTCCCATCTCTTTCAGCATATCCTCCAGGTATTTGTCTCTCACTGGGTACATGAACCCTGGCACCTTTACAATTGGGCAGCCTCCAAAGTACTGAGCCAGCCTCTGGTTGTCTCCAGTGGCACTCATAAGCACCACTCGTAGGTCGGGGTTCTCGTTTAAACTCGAGCGCAGCAAGGCCAGCAGCAGGTCTGTGTTTATGTCTCTCTCATGGATCTCGTCCAACACTACGGGCGGGGTTTGCCGCTAGCTTCTGCAGCAGGACACCCACTGTGAGGAAGAGCAAGGCTCCGCCGCTCTGCTCCGGGGGTCGGCTCTCAAGTCTCACCTACGTACAGAAAAGAATTAGCTGTTGTAATAGCCACAGATTTATCCACTAATGTGATTACCTGCAACTATAACAGCACTACAACAGAAGGAATGAGTGCTTAGGTAGAAAATTAATCAAACAGTACAATCAACTATTAGTCTTACCAACTTAAAGAAGAATGATTACCTTGGTTTAGGAAATAATCAAATATTATTGTTAAGTAATTAAAAACAATTGCATTTAGCATTTAAAAAGAGTCTGTATTTTAAACCATCTATTTTCAATTCTAAACCCCCTAAAATGTGTTTGGCTTTCCATTCGGTGATTTGGACAAACGGCATACACACAACTTTAACGTTTTAGTGCTTTACAATTACTGTTCATTTTAAAACCAAATGATTCAGTTCAATAATTAACTAGGCAACTCAAAAACAAGATTTTCTGATATTTCTTCCATCTCTATTTTTATGCCACTAAAATAAGGTACTTCACTTTTATAGATACACATGAATAATGCATTAAAAGAATGATGTACATTTTATTTTACCCAAATGGCCCAGACATTTTTCTAAAGTCCAAGGCAGTGATGTTATAAACAGCTTGTTTTGTCTGACAAACCCTCCAAACCCCAAAAAATATTACGTTCGCACAAAGGAAGCAAAAAAAAAACCCCAGCAAATCCTCACAAACAAGTTTCAACCTTGTAATGTTTAGCAATTTGCTTGGAAAAAAAACCTATGTTTAAAAAATGTTGTTGAAATAGTTGATTAGTCGGTCAATTAATAATTTCAGCTCTACTTGACAGTACATATATACAATATAGTACAACCCTGTATCTACCTGATATCCCACAGAGCGTTTTAAAGCTGACCCCATCTCATGAGCAACACGGTGGGCCACGGACACAGCACTGATCCGGCGAGGCTGGGTCACTAGGATGTTGCACTCTGCTCCCTCCCCACCTCTCACATATTCCTCCAGCAGGAAGCGGGGGATCCGTGTCGTTTTGCCACATCCTGTTTCACCAGCGATCACAACAACTCTGGAGGACTGCACTGCAGAGACCACGCGCTGACGATGGGCATCAACCGGGAGCTCCACACTCAGCCCAGGGTTTGCCCTTTCCCATTCCTCTTGCAGGTGGATGTTGAGCTCCTGAGCCTCTTGTGTAGACATAGGTCTGTATGGCCTGCCTGTAATGGCATCTGTTACCCAGTCTTCCTCTTCTTCCTCATCCTCCTGGTTGACCAGCTGCTGTCCTTTCAACTCTTCCTCCTCCCACACTTTCTGTACTTCTGTTGCCACTGGGTACTGTTAGAAAGATCATGCATCACTTTTGACAGAAAATTAATGTCACTGTGTGTGGGGAGGTATATGACAAAAAAAAGGCCATAACTTGTGGTCCAGGGTCACAAGAGCACATTAGTTCATTTTAAGGAAGCCATGAGCCAACCAAGAGAACCAAAAGTAAATGGACATGTCATGCCAATGGTCACTGTCAAATCAGCCTTGGTCAGGTAGCTCCACATCAAACTCACAAAACCATTTTCTTGTTAATTTATAACTGATACTTAAAATGATCATAGCTGTGGCACTTAAATTTCCCTAAGGGGGTGTGCCAGAAACAATTGAAAATAAGTTAAGTTTTTGTTCACAAACCTAAATTCAACCCATCCTTCCCACATGAGATGCAAACTGACCTGTGTGAGATACTCTCTCATGTCTTCCTGCAGGTATTTTGGGACTTCCAGCGGAAGGGGGCGTCTCTCCCGCTCTCCAGCTTCCCTCACCTTCTCATGGTGGTACTTGGCGTGAGTCAGCGGGTTGTTGTCTTTATCCAGCAGCCCCAGCTCCTACACCAGGTGATGTTAACACATTAATACAACTCTAATATGTATGCACATAATGTGTCTCCAAGATCACTCTTACCTTCAGTTTCATGCAGGCAAGAGCTGCAGCTGTCCTCTCTGCTGTCATTCTGTTGCTCGCTCTGGCTGTGAACGTCATCTCCTCAGGCCAGTGCAAGGTCAGTTCACACTTCTTCAGTTTACCTCCAGTTGTTCTAAACTGGATTAGCTCCTGTGGCAAGTGATAGAGAGATGAATGTAGAATATATGATAAGCTAGGAGCAACTTGCTTTCATTGTGACAGGGGTGAGAGCTACAGTACCAACCCTGATCCTGCTGGATGATGTAGCCACCTGGATGACCCTGGTCAGGAGAGATTTTGATTGAGGAAACAGGGAAAGCGCGTCAGAGCCTTTGGAGGCATCTTCTAAAGGAGGCAGGGGTTGTTTTTCAACATCTGCTTTAGCTCTAGAAACAAGGACGCTTTCTGCACGTTGGTCGTAATCATAACAGGGTGAATCTAGCCCTTCTCTACCACGGCCAGCTCCCCTCCTGGGAAGCTGATTGTTTGGACCAATCACACCCATTTCCTTTGCACAAACAGAGAAGGTAAGGGGAGAAACAATGAGCAAGGTACAACAAAGAACTAAGGTTAAAAAAAATGCATGCATCCATTTTTACAGTATGAATTCCTACTCTGAGTTTGAGACAGGCAGCAGCTGCAGCAAGTTGCTCTGCATCGACCCTCTTGGAGGCACAGCCCTCCTCCTCAATCTTGCAAGGCCACAGTAGTGTGACAGTTGCTTTCTACGGAAACAAAGTTCCAACACAAACTTGAATCAACAATGAGATGAATGATATGTATCCAGAAAGGCCATGTCATCATGATTTTAGCTCAGACCTTGAAACCCGCATGTTCAGTGCAGCTGTACTGGATGTACTGGGACAAATCGCTGATTCCCAGTGCCCGGTTGATTGTGTTATTCAGAAGGGTTTTGGGCTCTGGAAACTGCTTCAGGAGGCTTGAACTAACGTTACCTACATGGTGAAAAACAGATACCAGACGCACAGAAACAACTGTGTTTACTATCACTCCAATCTAATGTAAACGGGGAAAAGATCCCGAAACATAAAAATGAAAATCATGATTATATGATGGGTGTCCTTGAGTTTCAGCACTACTGCGAGCTACCGGCTCGCTAGCTGTCATTCTCACTCACCACGCTGAGACTGGAAATGTGATGTCCCGTGTTCCTGAACGCTCCAAGGCTTTGTCCTATACCACCGCATTTCTCTGCTCCAACTGGACACGGGTTTGCCTTCTGTATGAACACATTTTCCAATGCTGCAAAGCGCTCTCAACCGCATGAGCGCAACACCAGGTAGCGCCATCTTTAAACTACTATTCTTCTTCTGAGGCAGTGAGCGGAAGAAGACATTATAGTCACAGCGACACCCTTTGACGGGGAGAACAAATTATTTCTATAAACCTTTTAAAATGAAAACAATTAATCCTTTATATAGAAAACACACACATTACACACACACATATATCTAATCTATCTGTCTGTCTCTCTCTCTCTCTATCTATATATATATATATACACACACACACACACACACATATATATATATATATATACACACACACACACACACACATATATATATATATATATACACACACACACACACACACATATATATATATATATATACACACACACACACACACACATATATATATATATATATACACACACACACACACACACATATATATATATATATATACACACACACACACACACACATATATATATATATATATACACACACACACACACACACATATATATATATATATATACACACACACACACACACACATATATATATATATATATACACACACACACACACACACATATATATATATATATATACACACACACACACACACACATATATATATATATATATACACACACACACACACACACATATATATATATATATATACACACACACACACACACACATATATATATATATATATACACACACACACACACACACATATATATATATATATATACACATACATACACACACACACACCTAGATATACCCAGAAACCAAAATCAGTCTATTATGTGAATATGTGAAGTAAAGACAAACTCCCTGAAATGTACAAATTTCATCAACTGAAAATGTTTCCATAACCAAAGAAGTCACAGAGTGACTGAACAATTCAATGTTTAATAAAACTATCATATTATGTCACATACTTTATCAGAATATATACTGAGTACAAGAAATACATAGTATTTGTATCAAAAAGTAGCATTTTAATCAGTTTAGACAAGGTACATTTTATGGAGGCAGGACAAAGGTAAATCCCAAAATATATGTATTTAACATAAAACAAACTAAGGAAATATAAGAGCATAACATGTATATTTACTATTTTGTTATTCATTTGACTGGATTAAGGACTTCATCATGAGCATATCTAAAAGCAAATGAAAGTGATATGAAAGTAAATGGAAAGGTAAAGAGTTTGTGCATTTTTATAATGCATTCAAAACAATGGACTAAAGGAACATTGTAGATACATTTATAGATTATATCTGACTGATGCAAGCATAATAATCAATTAATGAAAACAACTGACAAAATCCTACCTGTAAGTCTGAATTTGGATCAGCAGTTCTACACAGTAATACCGACATCAGATCGCACCAATTGTTTATGGTGACTGTTTTCATTCGACAGCCTTGGTTCTCACTGTATGTTGTGGTGTAAATCCTTACAAGAGATGCTCATGGGTCTGAGGTTGACCAGGTGAAGAAGTCAATGCCCTGCAGCTCCTTGGGTAAGTACTCCTGCTCCACAGGCTTGCTGAAGGCTGGGTTATATTTGTAGCCTTTAGCATAGCCCAGTTGCTTCATCAGCCTGGTAGGGGCATTGCGGAGGTGCAGGGGGACAGGAGGCAGAGGGCCTTTGTGGTTCCTCAAACAAGCCTTCACATTATTATAAGCCGTATAGATCTCCACAGACTTGGGTGCGCGTGCTAGATACACCACACACTGAGCCAGGATCACCTGTTGACCAGGGGGATGAACAGAGGTAAAGACACTGGTTGACTGAATGGGCTTGACTGAAGACTCACCATCACTGGTCAGGTTAGCTTAGCATACCTCACATTCAGGCATCCCAATGAAGTGACAGGCCTGGAAGGCGGACACCGCCTGAGGAAGAGCAGAGGGATCTGCCATACCTGAGAGAGACATTTGACCGAGGGCCCGTCAGACCAACTAGAAGAAAACAAACTTTTCTTGCTTGAAATCTTTCCCATTTTATCTGTAAGAATGCTCTGTTTGCATTTTAGTTCAGTCAATATTTTATTTCTTGTGTTGCCATATAACGATTAACTCAGACTCATATGAAACTACAGTGCTAGTGATGTAACCATGAGCATAACCATGCAAGGCTGCAAACATGATCAGTAAATTCTAACCAAAACCTTACAGCCAACAGTGTGTTTAGAGCAGAGCATCAAAGTGGCAGCAGCTTTGCAGCTGCCAAATGGTTACAATGAATTATATAAGATAAAGAAAAAACAGAGATGTGATACAGTAATGTCACATACCAACATCCTCACTGGCAAAGCGGATCAATCTGCGAGCCACATAGAGGGGATCCTCACCACCCTCCAGCATGCGGCCCAGCCAGTAGAGGGAGGCGTTCTCATGGGAGCCTCTCATAGACTTATGCAACGCTGAGATACAGTTGTAATGCTCCTCACCTGAGAGTAGCACAAAGGCATACACACGCACAACAGGTGGAGGAGGAGAAGAAAAGAGATTGTTCTTCAGGTGGCATACCATCAACAATTTAAGTCTTTACCACAGTCTGAAAAATATTATATAAACATTATCTCATCAAAGCAAGCTGCATAAATACCAATACAAAAGTAAACATAGAGCAGATCATATGAAGGGAAGAATGGAGGGAAGACTACTGTCTCCATTTAGTTCTTTAGTTATGCTCCGGGCGTTTTATCACACTGTGAAGAGAGGGACAGTAAATCTTGATATTCTGGAACAGCTGCTGTGTTATGTAACAGGAGAGTACGGAGGACTGTTGACGTCTTATGAGGGGAATTATCCATGGATACTCAGGGAGGGGGTTAGGTATAAATGTTTGGAGTGGCTGAAACTACAGTATACACATCTTAAAGGGTAACTAAACCCCTTCACTCTAACTTTCTGTTGACAACTGAGGAGTGAGGAGCAAGGAGAAAGGTGCATGGCCTTGTCACAACATATGAGGTTGGTTGAAATCCAGCTCCACACACATCACCTACCACCAGATCAACCATTAGCAATATTCAACTGCAGTAGTCAGGTTGCAACCAGTAGAGGGCAGTCTTTATGCATATTTCTGACAAAATGCAGACTTCAAATACTTTGCACTTGCATGTCAAGATTTGTACCTCAATCAATCAAAAACACTACTAAATTCCCATATACATTGGTTTTCAGCTGAAAAATAGTGGTTTGGGGGTTTAGTGACTCTTTAAAAACTCCACCTACTAGTAAAAATTCTGATAGTTCTGAGGTTATTCTAAGTAGGAGAATGATTAAACAAGCAATGAATTTATGCATTACTTAGCTATCATTAAGAAAATACCAGTAACCATGTCTCATGTTTTAACCATCTTTAGTAATACTTGGATAACAAAAAGAATTGTATGAACATTACCACAGTGGCAAGTGTGACACATTTAGGAAACTATATACATTTGGCCTTACCAGCTTTGTCATAGAGAATATGGGACCTCTGAAGACCCTCCTTGACATGCTCTTCCTTTACCAGTATCTCTTGAGGTGAACCATCTTGTGCTAACAGGTTGGCTTGGGTCAAGTTCACCTGAGCCTGAACAGCCAGCTGCAGACCATTGAGTCCTGCTCTTGCATCCCCATCACAGAGGTAGGCTATGGTATCCAGAGCTTTTTGTTCAATGTAAATGTTTGGCCTAAATTTTTGGAAAAGCATAAAAACATACATATTGGTGTCAATATTTGTTTTACTATAGTTATTTTGTAAAGAATTAATACAACTGGAATACAATCTGAATCAATGCTGATAATTGTTGCATAAATGTGGACAATAGTTATTTCTGCTCATTAAACAATAAGGTCACGACTGCACAATCAACTTGAAAAAGACTGCAAACTCAGATGGCTGCTTGTTATCATAAATGATCAAATGCCAAGTGTGATGATGGATACCTGAAAACATATTTCCACACAAGGCTCCTACAGTATTCTGATATAATATTCTTTGAAACCAAAGTGATTCTACTTTTTACTGATCAGTTCATTGTAAATGTACTTATTTTATCCATGTCTGGATTATGGAGAAGTGATGACTCAATTTTTCCAGTGTTAAAGGCAAACTGTTTACATATTTTGATCTGATCTTCTGAATTTAAACTGCTCCTCAGCCAACTGTCATACAGTACAGGTTACTATAGAAATTTACCCTGGATAAAAGTGAGTTACTTTCATTCTGGTTTAAGTCCTAAAGTTAGTCGGCTACATGAATACATGCAACCAGCTGCATTCCAAACAATACATCTGATCCAGCTATTTGATCATCTCCCTGAAGCTCACCGACACCTCTGCAGTTAACATCTGGCTCACTGTCTACAACTCGTATGCTAAACCTTTTCTGTCAAGATATCAGACCAGACCAGAGTATGGGAGATTGCTGCGGCTCCAAAAACCTCTGAATACTGTATTATCAACGAGGCAAGCCTCACACTTAATCCAACGTTTTCTGAATAGTAGGGTGACACCAAATCATGATGTGTGACACTGAGAGCTTGATTCCCAGAAGAGCACTTACTCATGTCCATCTGTTTGATCTTGATCTTTGGGAATTGATGAACCTTGTCCTAGGACCCTGATCCCAAGTGTGGCCACAGCCCTGCCCAGGATTGAGCCCAGTGCCTCCACAGAGAGCTTCTCTAGAACCAGCACCCTGCACCTGCTCAGCAGGGCAGCATTTACCTGGAAGGATGGATTCTCTGTGGTCGCTCCAATCAGTGTTACTGTCCCACACTCCACGTGGGGCAGGAAGGTGTCCTACAGATACACACAGAGTGAAGAAAAAGAGGAGCACAAACATGGAATGAAAAGCGGTGAAAACAACGTCTACTCTGTATCGCTGCTATGTCTGCATTTTCAGGCTTTCAGTATATTGGTAAGTGCAATTAAATATATAAGGTACTGTTATTTATCCATCAATCAAACTAAAGATACCTGTGTGTAAGATAATGTTCTTAAATAGGCCACAGTTGATGACAGTCAGCATTTCACCTACATTGTAGCAATGACACTGACTCAGCTTTATAGAAATGAATATTAGTGTATGTATGCTGTTATATCTCACATGGCCATATAATAACCAAGAGAACTCCAATATTGATCATGACAGTTGCTGATGATTACATAGCTAAACCTGATTTTGCTGCGCACACACGCATTTATAGCAAAATAAAATTTATTTCTTATTTTACTGAATCACGTTTTCAGGAATCAGAGGAATTAGTGGGTTCTGTTTGATAGGGGTTTCACGGGGGGTTTATTTTGAGTGACCACATTCTCATACAGGTTCTAGTGTATGCTATTCATGGCTTTATATTTATGTGTAGAAATGTTTACTATTGTTCGGCAAGGGAAAAAAACCCCATCAAAATATGATTATCTAAACAGACTAAATGGAAGCTTTGTGTCAAGGCAAACCTAACGATAACAGACACCAGCACAACTTAATATATTTGTTACAGAAATGGAGGATAAATACAAACACTGGCTTGAGAACTGGAAGTACTGTATCTTATATAAATCATGTCAATCTGATGTCGTATTCTAGCTGATTTGGCGGCAGCAACTTTGATCATAACACATCTTTGTGGCTGACACTCCACCTGTTGGGATTTGTTGAAGCGGTGAATTTCATCAATGAACAGAATGGTCCTCCTCTTGCAGAGTCTGAGCTCATTCTGTGCCTGCTTGATCACCTCTCGGACATCACTGGTGGATGCGCTGGTAGCAGACATGGTGACAAAGCGAGCCGTGCCATTCTTTTTACTGGTGCTGGCTATTATGTGAGCTAGAGTGGTCTGAAAAACAAAAACATGTGCAAAGTAATTTGATTTAAACACATCTGTCTCAGAAGCAAACAGTATAAGTGAAACTGTCTTACACATATGAAAAATTATGTAAAAATACATTCTGCTTAAGGATGCTGAGTATCTGAATACTTATTAGATATGATAGATATGATGTTCAGCTCCAATAATAAGCATTCATGGTAAAACCTGTAAGATAATGCTATAAGAAAACTGACGGAGGGCAAGAGATTAAATGTTAGAAAAGCATGCTGACAAAGCTGCTGTACAAAAATCCATGCTAATTTGCTTGGCATGTCTCCACTTCAGTTACTGCTGGCTGTAAAGCTTCTTCCCTGTTATCACCACCACACCTTCCCACATCCCGGTGGTCCCCAGAAGATCAGGGATGGCATGTCCTGGGAGCCGAGAAGTGAGCGGAGCAGTGTTTGCTGGCCTACAACTTTACTTTGGCCAAAGTATTCCTCGAGTGTGTTTGGTCTGAGCATCTCCGCCAAAGGTTTGTCCATCGTTAGCAGGGTCCGTGGCGATAAACCCTGTGGTGTCTTCAAAATCTGTCTGGTAAACTCAGATGTTTGGCTTTTCTCTCTACATCCTGGTCCAGGTTCAGCCTCGTTCAGTAAACTACGTTTAACGCCCTTGTTGACAGCATTAGCAGCACTTTGTTTACTGGTAAATGAACAGTTCTGCTCATTTTGGATCGACACTTTACTCTTGTTGGTTTGAAACAGGGAGAATACCGCAGATGACGGCGGTTCTACCATTACGGAAGAGCTGGACACAGCTTTGCTGCTAGGGGGTTCGGGTACTACAGGCTCCGCGCCAATGCGAAGTTTCTTTAAAGGAGGCCCGCTCTCGTCGACTGGGGATGGAATATTATCGGTAACGCTTTCCAATAGACATACGTCGAGATGTCCGTTAATTGTGGAAGACCTGAAGTCTTTAAAACAAACAGGACATTGCACCAAGTCTGGCACTGCTAATGTCATATCGTTCGCCATGTCGATTCCCGCAAACTTCGGACCTTAAGTCACATGACCAAACACTGTTTTGGTGCGTTTGCGTACTGATTGGGATAATCTGATATAAGAGTTTTCTGGTCCATGTTATACGTCTTATTTTTCTGGCACAAACTTTAATTGCCTAATATTGGACGTTATAAATTAGAACTGAGTTTTATCTAGATAAACCGTTGAGATGTTACGTATGACGTTGTCAAATATGCCTATAACCGTCTTCAAAAAATGTAAATGTGGTCAAGACATAGTTGTATTTCCCATAGTCTACAGTACCTGAATGCAGCAAGTATAGGCAACAGCGCCACACACAGGCCAACAGTATGAGGGACCTCGGGGTTATTAACATAGACTGTATCCAGTCTACGGTTATTATCTAAAACCTTATAAAAAGGTCATTAGTTGATATTTAACCTATATGAGAAATAAAACGGGAATTGATACAAGCTCATTCATTCAGTTCATTTATCCCTCAGTCTCTCTCCTTTTTTGTTTATTTGTGTTTATTGCAGTAAGTCCAACTTAATGTATTACTGCTACGGCTTTACCAGAAGTCCCATTTAAGTTAGCAAGCTTGAGTTATACAGTATATTGAACGCTATGTTTGTTCTTATAAAAGCAAAATTAACCTGCTGGATTTTTGAAGGGAGTTTTGATCACCTTCTGTCAGCAAAAGAAACACAGCGCTTATAAGAGGAAACAACGTGTGCTGTCCTTGGTGCTGAAGAGAAGAATCCTGAACAACTTCTGAGTCAGGAATCTGAAACACTGACCTCAGCATCTAACCCTGTCCATCTTCCACCAATAACAAATAGTCTACAGAAACATGCTTCAGCTTCACATTTGTAGTTTTCACTGCACATTTATTTGTTACAATTTTTATGAATTAAGGTTTTACACACAAAATGTGCCTAAGAGGCTGCAGCCCATCAGCAGCACAGGCTCGACAACATGGGCTGCTGCATGATCCTCTCCATGGAGGACCGGTGCATTAGGCTGCAGACATTTGAGCCTCAGTGATATAGATGGAGTGGACAAAATAACAGACAGCTGTCAGTATAACAGCCCAGCCAAACCGCAGACAGACTCCAGCCTCCACAGTGACCACACAAGTGAATCAACAGCTCTGTGACACAGTGGGTACACAAACCACAATCACCTTCATGAAGAAGGATATACTGCAGATCTAGTGTTTATTCTCATCCCAGCAGAATAACATCGGTCAAGCGGAGTGTAGTAGGCTGCTGGAAATTATTTATCACACAGACAGCCATGATTTCCTGATCTGGAGCTGCCTGTTGAGAACAGAAGATGACCAACTGTCCAGCGTCCTTTGTAAACACACGACAGAAACTTCTGGTTCACTTATGAACGCTGATTATGTTCTGACTTTTCATCTTTGGTCAATGATCGAGCAACATGGCATCAGCCTCAAACAGGGGTGTTGCTGGACATAAGGCTCTACTGGGGCACAGAACCCGCATAACTCAAATCACACCTTTTTTTCTTGAATACTTATACCTTAGCCCATTATTCCACTGCCTGCTGCTACTACAACTAATGGGAAAGGTAAAACTTTATGAAAATATTTCTACATACATTAAGAACATTATCTACATGTTTTTATGGTGTAAAGGTCTGGCCCTATATTGCACATTTCTTTACCCCTGCACAAATGGCTTCCTCTACACCTTCCCTTCCTGCTTCAGGTACACGTGTTTGTTAAATGTCCATAAGACAAACATTATTTGGATTGTGTGACAAGAGCATCAGATATGTTATAGGCTAGCCATTAAATGCAGAATGAAGATCTACACAGCTACAGCCAGGTCGGACCCAGATTCATCCAAAGCTCATGTCTGAACACAGACTCCACACACATCACACTACCTGTACACCTTCCTTAGGGACATTGCTTAGGCTCACCCTCACCATGTGACCCGTATTGATGATTGGATGATTGGATGCGGACCCCTAATCTACAGCGCAGTGTTGAATAGTAATCTTGCTTTCTGTGAACTGTCACATTTTTGATAAAGGAATACAGGAGAAAAGGATAGAAAAAAAGGCTTGCAATTCAGTGAAGAGTGGGACAGAGTATATCTCTCAGGCACCCTTTGCTGGCACCTGGCACGCTTTTGTCATGAGGACAAACCGTCCGTCCTTTGGCTTGAAGTGCTGATTGTTGGGGGTTAACTGGATTAACAGAGGCTGTGGAGGATAGTGTAGTATTAATGCTTGGGCACTGAGAAGGAACTGTCATTTCTTCCAATCCTTCATTTAAGACTCTTCTCCCTAAGCCCCATTGAGCTCCAGAGGTACTTTGTAGTTAAAGACAGGGTGGCCAGGCTACAGAAGATGGATAAAGAGTAAACTGAAAGCACTGGAGAATTTTGTCACAAGCTGGGATATTTGGCTTGTTAACAGCATGTGTCTGGTTGCCTCCTACATCTGGCACAGGCTGTGTGATTTACTCTGCTACAAGAGGAGGCACAGAGCATCTTCAACAACAACTGCCATTCAGGTATCTTTAAGGATGTTTGACTTGTTGAATAATATTCAAACATTAACATGACAGTGCCTCCCCGCTGGAAGCATTATGTTTTCAGGTTGTCTGTCCCTACCGTTCAATATGGAGCCATCTTTGTATTGTCTTATGTGCTCATTTTTCGCTCACTTTTCATGTTTTACACTCCAGCTAAATATCACATCTAACTGAATTAGCTACCTAGAGTTATTCTCAGTATCTGAAAGGTGAGACTAGTCATAATAGTGCATGTGTGTTTTTCTATGTTATGAATAGAAATAGGAAGGGTAAAACATGAGATAAGCGGTTGCTATAGATGGGAGTCTTGATATTACACTTCATTTTTCAGTTTCATGATGCATATTGTCATATTTTTAAATCACGATACATTGTTCCATGATACATTATAACACTCCTACTGTATACTACACAGTGCTTAAAAATACACACACTTTGTAGTTATCTCTATTATGCTGATAGCGTGCCTCAGAGACAAGCAGAAGCCCTCGCACCCTCTCTTTTTTCCATTCCTCTCTTAGGATATAGAAGATCCACTCTGACATTTACTGTAGGGGATTCATGAGTATGTGAGGTAAGGTTTCTTTGCAGTCTCTAATCTTTAATACCCTTTATGATGCACTCAATGTAATGTGCTTCTTGGTTTTCCATACATCTAGAAATATCTTGCTCAAACAGAAAGATGGAACTTGGATGAAATAATTTCTTAAGTATGAGTAAGATTACTGGTGTTGAAAGGAAATATAAATAATACAGCAGCTCCTCTGAAATGATTGTGGTTTTGTTATTCAGTTAGCTGAAAAACAATAGCAACATTTTCATTAATTTTAATAGGCAACAATGTCATAAATGTATATAGGCTGCAGCTCAAATGTATTTTTTTCCTTTTAGTTCTATGTTGTAGTAAACTGTGTACCTTTTGGTTTTTAACTGTTGGTCAGACAAACAATGTGAACATGTCAGTTTTGGCTCTAAGAGATTATTGTAGACATTATAATTAATGAATGAATTCATTTTACTAGTTTTTGGTCATTCATCAGACAAACAATTTAATCAATAATGGAACTCATTCTTAGGTGCAGCCCCAATGCATCAAAGTAGTACTGCTCTAAACAATTGGTGAGCAGGACGTGCATTGCTTGGCGAACATTAGTGTGACTCCCCCTGCTCTTCCTCTGGTCAGGAGCACGTTTCTGTATTTTAAGTGACATGTGCTGCAGACCTCCTCTGAGATGTTTCGGTTGATGTTTTTACTGTATTCTATACAAGGCAACAGCCCCCATTCAAGCCTCTGAAGTTTATACAGATGGACAGTGCCACCTGCTGTTCAAAATGAAAACCTAGTTAACAGGGGTGGAAAAACAAGCCTTTAAGATCCTATAAAAAGTTCCACTACATAAAAGTCCTGCATTCATAATTCATATAAGTAAAATATATATTATCAGAAAAAGTACTTGCAATACCAAAAGATTAGGGCAGAACAGTATATTATATATTATGTTGTCATTAATAATACACCTTGAAAATATGATTTAATAGTGAGTGTTTTTGTGTGCATACTTGTACACATACAGCACAAATGCATTTGAAAGTGTATAAGAATGTATTTGTTCATGATGTTGATTTAATGTATTGACTCACGATAATGTCTAATGTGGTTTTACATATATATATATATGTATATAAACAAAACCAAAAAGTATGTTTGCACAAAATGTGTACTGTATACCAAGAAAAAAAAACCCGAGATGGCAGAGAAAGAACAGGAAAAGATTTAAAGACATTTGTAAAGTTTCATGGCTGCTCCACACATTAAAGCTGACAAGTTTCTGAGGAAAAATGCGCAGGAGCCAGCGCTGGCGGGCAGCGTGAGTGGTGGCTGAAGAGGTGACTGGACAGTTGCCACAGAACACAGACGTCCTGATGAAGGACATTATGTTCTCTGAAAGGGTGGTGGTGTTCCTTTTTAGAAAAGCTCACCTTGTCCCAAATACCAAACAAATAGCCTAATACAGAGGGCTATGTAGGTCATATTCAAACATGCTGATTGTTCAGAAAAGAAGATTCAAAATTAAAAACACTAGCACATTTAAAGTAACTGCAAGTTTTGCCTTTTTGCTCATGGCACTCTCACTTTATATGTCATCTTAGACTGAACATTTTTCCCCCATAGCTTTTAACAATATGTAGACCAAACAATGAATCAATTAATCCAGAAAATAATCTTCAAAACAGTCAATAATGAAAATAATTTTTTTCCACTATACAGTTTAATAGTAATAATAATAAATCAGAGTTTTTTAAATATACTTAAAGACATTTAACATAAAAAAAGCAAAAAAAAGATTATTATTTCACTATATTAGGGGTACAAAGAATACACGGTGTCTTTAAAAGTTTGAAGTTTTAGTATTAAAGGGCACTAAGCCTCCTGCTGTATATCAGTTTACCTTAATTCTTTTCCACTCTAGATGTCACAGTTCAAACTATAAGGTCAACAAGAACACACACACACATACAGAAACCAAATTATTCAGTATATTTTAAATGGGGTTTCCAAGCATTTGTGATGATGTCCCCAAACATCCTGAAAAGTTTGCTGTCACATTAATCAACGTTTTAATCATGCGCATGATTTCTTATGTGTAGCCTTATGAGCTTGGTCTGTGTGTACACACACTTGGGCTTGGCAGAAAAGGTGAGAGAAGACTTTGAGCACTAGTCATGTTGCCTTTATATTCTTTGGCGTTAGCTGCACTGTACTGTAAGCATAAGTGATATAAACCTGATATTTACTTTATGTAATAAGGCTGAGAAACCTGGGGTCAGCTTATATTCCCTGCAGGGCTTAATAACCTTAAGGTGCCCCCTAACTTTTAGCACTGTAAGATATAATGTGAAAGTGCCATCACAGTCTTTTGTACTAAGCTTTACTGTATAAATTAGTGACTGCTTTAACTATGCTGTGTTTCAGAATTCAGCCCTTTTTCTCTTCTTTAACATTTGAAAAACGACTTTACATTATTCTTGCTGCTTGTATGGAAAAAAAATACAGCCTGCCAAGTTCCATATGCACCACTGCATAAGAAAGTTGATTGTTCATGCCCTTGAAATTAACGCAACATGCAAATGAGCTATATTGTCTGTCATCTGTCGGCATCCAAGGACAGGTGTGCGTGTCCCATCTGTTTCTGTTCCATCAGAGTCGCTTGTTGTGTTTGGCATATCTGACTTGCTCAAGTGAACCATGATGAAACTCAAAATACAGGGGAATGCAGTGAATAAATCTGTGCCCAGAAGACTTACCAGTGTAGGAGCATTACACAAGGCTTTGCACAGTGCAGCTTCAGTTCCATTTTTAAATAGGAAATAGAACCTGTAATATGTAACCTGGTATGATGACATGAAGTAGGAGTTGACAGCTATTCCCTCTCTCTTACCTTTGGTCACCTTTCCTCACTCAATTTCACATCCTTCCTTGGTTTCTGCATTCATGTCTTGAGCCACTGGAATGAGAAGTGGCTGGGGTCACTGTGGCTTGGTTTGTACTCTGTGACTCTATTGTCAAAAGTATTTTATGGTGGCTTGCACAATGCTGGATTCCTTCTCAGTATGTAATTTGTAATTTTGACTATTCCCATGATGCATTGGTCAGTGTCTAAATAAACTGACATAAACATATTTTGATTTATAGAGAATATCAATTATGGTCATATTACAAGAGCTAAGTTAAAATTGATCCCTTTCTTTCTTAAGGGAGTTAATCACAGATTGTTTTTGTCAGTGAGAAGGCATATAAACAATTTGTATCACGCATCTCTTCTTTCAGCAGTGGGACTGAACACCTTACTGTAGGTCGCCCTTAGTCAGGAACCACAGGCTTCCTCATGTTTCCCCTGATACTGGGTGCAAGTTACAGGCATTCAAGAGATAAGGAGGGAATTAGCATTGCAACATGGTTCTTGTTCACAATTGTACACAGACAGAACCACATACATCAGTGTCACATTACCAGCAACCTAATCATTTTAGACTCCTCAGTGACATGACAATTATTTGAAATATTTATATTAAATTACCAACACAACATCTATTTTGAAATGATCTCAAAATATCTTCTTCTGCTTAAAGAATACCCACCTCTTTACCCTTTTCCTATTTTGAATATCTGTGCCATCCCCTCAAGAATGTGAACCAGGCATTCGATACAATAAACTAATGTTATTTGAGAGGGAAAAATGGTAAAAATGAACAAACGTTGTTGTATAAGTCTCATACACTGAAGAAGTACTGTGACCAGTTTGACACCCAGCAGGTGAATGACAGTGGTGAGCTTAACACTTAAAGGCTCTCAAATGTCTCATAGCCCAAGCGCTGCCAAGCTCCCACCTCCAACACTTGGCCCCTGCTGACGTAGGCTGTCCATTTACATTTAGGGACACCAGCTCACTTCATTTACAATACCATTTCTACTGTGGAAAGAGGCAGGTGCCAGGGAAATAGTGCAGAATAATATATTTAGTTTAAAGTTTTAGGCGTTTAAAATATTCATCGTCATTGCTGGTGATTTTTCATCTTAAATATTTTATTTTTGGATTTTTTTCCTGTTTGTTTCACATTTATGTATTTTAATTAGTTTGTACCCTGACTGGGAGCACAGAAGAGTAGAGCTGGCTACAATTTTTAAAAAAGTCTTTTTGTTTATTTCAAGGACATTATTAACTTTTTTTTTTTTTTGAGCTGGTGTATTAACGTGATTTTTGCATCAGTGGGAGCCATGAGTGCCTTGGTAATGAACACAGCAGGCAATGGCAACCGCAAAAGTTTTGACCTCATTCATACTCAGATTGACTCACTGAGTGGTAAGATGGACAAGCTCATCCACATTCAAGAAGCGGTCCTCAGCCGACTAGATGATATGCCTCATGACAGTGAAAAGGATATGGAGAAGTGGAAGGTTGCCAAGGAGGAGATCCATCTGCCACCCGGGGTAATGAAACATACCCAGGTCACGGGGCAAGAGATGAGGAACATATGCCAGCAGATGAGCAGCATCCTGTCTGTGGTGAATCAGAGATCGGAGCAGCAAGCTCAAAAGCTCGAAGGGATAGAAAAACTGGTCCTCGGCATGCAGCAGGTTATCAGCTTCATTGGTGAGACAATGAAGAGCTCAAACGTAATGGAACTGATGTTCAAAGGCCCCGCTGCTCAGAAGGGCCCCAAACCCAAAGACAATAAGGAAAAGCAAGCTATTAAGAGGAAATCATCTACAGAGATAATAAACAAGAAGCTGGACAAGGTGAGATTAAAAGGCTGATGTAACATGCTAATGCGCAAAAATGCATTTTCTTTAGATGCGTACTACAATTCAATCAACTGTGATGAGGTTGTATTATATTGCTGACGCATAAGGTTTCTGAAGTGTGCATCCAACATTCTGAATTCATTATTTTACATTTTAAAGTATGGATTTATCATTTTGAGATATCTAAAGGTATTGCCGGCTATAGGAGCCTATTCATCACCACCATTGATGTTGTCAGTGTTGCAAAAGATGCTATATATTTCCCTGCTGACTTTGAGTTCTTTGAATTTATTATGATCTTGCTGTTCTTGGCAGAACATGTGAAAATGATCATAGCAGCAGAGCAGACAAACTGTTCTCTTGCCAACGAATGTCACTTGGCTTGTGTGCTAAACTGTGTGCCAACTGCTGATTGAGTGAAAGCTAAATAAGAACGCTAATTTTATACTGTGCTGTAAGCAACTTCACATTATATGTCACCAGTAGCTTATGTAAAGTCTCTTTCTACTCATTTTTGAGTGTAAAATGGCCCGCTTAGCATGGGGCACATCCATGGGGCCTCCCAGCAGGATGTAAGGGGGGCTTTGTTTTCTATCCATATTTGTGTTAAATTAAAAAATTACTTATTGTGCTCAAGTCAATTAAAGTTTTGGATTAGAAATTCACTCAGATGATTAATGACCACAAATAAATCTGATGGCTTCTGCGTGACTCACATTTCAGAGAATTTCTGTTCTTGTCAGTGCACTTGCCAGATGGTTTCCCTATCTTTCTCCACCTCTGGCGGTAGGAGACACCTTATAATTCATTTCTGCTAATGTGGTCTCTACATATACCCTCCCTACAGTGGTGGAAGAAGTACCCAGATTATTTATTTAAATAAAAGTAGCAGTATCACATTGTAAAAATACTCTGTTACAAGTAAAAGTCCTACATTCAAAATGGTACTTAAGTAAAATACAAAAGTATATAGCATCAAAATATAAAAGTATGCATTATGCAGAATGAAGCTAGTTATAACTATCTTATATGCATATAATTTAAGACTTTACTTATGGCTGGTTAGCTTGTGAATTTCCCACCAGGGATCAATAAATTATGACTATACTGTAATTTGTTTAATTAATCTCTTTCTGAAAAGTAACTAGTAAGTGAAATTCAAATAAATGTATATAAAAAATACAATTTCTGAATTGTGTTGAAGTCAAAGTATGAAGTAAGAAATAATGAAAATACTCAAGTAAAGTACAGATGCTCCAAAATTATATTGAAGTACAGCACTTGAGTAAATGTACTTAGTTACTTTCCACTTCTGCCACCCCCCTCTCTCATTCATAGATTAGACTTCTAGAAAATACTGCTGTCAGTGGGGAAACACTAAACTCAAATATCCCTTGTGCTGTTTATGTCACAACAGCATTCAGAGGACAAATATAAGATACTCTGTGGTTCAAGACAACTTTTTCCATGCTAAATGTTCAGTGAGTTTACTTGGCTGAGCAATTTGAACAACAACCCATGGACACTTGTAATATTTTCCACCCAGGGTCAGCATTGCATACCATGGCTGAGTGTCATAAGTGATAGGCTATAAATTCACTGCCCTGCTGCTGTCTATGTCTATCTGCTGTATCTATTACATGTGTACTTAGTCATCAATCTGTCGCTTTCCCTGACATTCATACATTTTCATGCATTCATGTAACACTACTAAGCTTTTTGTCTTTTTTTTACTAGAAAACAGCGTCTAATAAAGCCAGTAAAGGGAATCAAGACAAAACCTCTGCGTGTGAACCCAATACTGTAGAACTGGCAAATAAAGCTGCCAACAATGTTGATGGTGAACTCAATTACAAGGCCAGACGAGGTTGAGCAGAACACTATCTCTTTACTGAGGTTACTGGTCACAAGTAACTGTACTCAATGCAGAAGTTTGATTAAACATGAGACATACTCAGGTCGATAATTCCAGTCCAGGGTCAGTACTGGCAAACTCTCACAGCCAAGGTATCCACAAAAGATTGGTCATAAAGGGAAGTCCATAAGTCGATGCACAGTAAACAATCAGAATTAGGAGGGTTAGGCAGTAATCTGGGGTCAAAAGGCAATCCGGGGTCAGAGCTGGAATAACAGGCACAAAGAGAAAATGCTGGAAAGTCTGAACAGAGGTTAGAACAATCTGGCAGCTTTCTGGTGGGAGGAAGCTACCTATAAAGGTGTGTCAACAGATGCAGATCATTACTACTGATTATAGTAAAACGTCCGTGGCTGAGGTGGGACTGTAGACCCAAAGTGGTGTCAGAATAAAAGCATGATAATGGAAGCAGTAGAGATAGAATCATGACAAATACTCCGCAGCCTTCTTGCGAGATAATTCTCAATGAACCAAAGCATTTTCCTCATCTCTTGTAAATGTGTAAATTTTGCACATTTACTATATTTGCTTTTAGACAATACTTACACCGGAAATTTCTTTTTATTGCTAAGATGTAAGTATATGTGCATTTCTGGCTACAGGCTGGCACCATGCTCTTTGTATTTTAGCTTAAAGCTAAAGTTTGAATGTTTGTGGATTTTCTTGATACAAAACATGTAACATTAGATTTTTTTGCAGAGCTACACCAGACCTATATCAAGATACTTTTGGAAAAGTAAAAAAAAAAGTTCCCTGTAATTTTAACTCTAGGATAGTAAATGGCACCTGTGTTATCAAGATGAATTGTTCAGGTGGCTGTGGCTCAGGAGGTAGACTGGGTCATCTCTAACCAGAAGGCTGGTGGTTTGATTCCTGGCTTCTCCAGTCCCCATGTCAAAGTGTCCTTGAGCAAGACAGTGAACCCCGAGTTGTTTGCGGTGATCTACTGCTACATGTGAATGGGCAAATAAAAGCATTTTGAGTATGTGTCTAGAATAGAAGTATAAGACTATTTACAGTGCCAACCACTGTGCCGCAATACTGTGAAATATGCCAGTATTCCTTTAATATAACATTTTAACTATAGTCATTTCTTTGAGGATGTAGGAAATTTATATTGATACATTGCCCATATTTCACTTTTGAATGTTTTCATTTGTGTTTCACAGTTGAAAGACCACAAAGGCAAAGAGGAGACAGAGAAACCATGTTTGAAGAAGCAGAGTTTGATTCCTGAACAGGTGCAGAAACGTAATATGGAAAATGCAGAGAAATCAGGTCACCAACACATCCCTGGCTATCTGAATCGGGAAGCTAAAGTGTTCCCTAAAGGTCAGCAAGCTGATGGTCCTGCCTGCAACTTAGTAGACATGCATGAGGATTTCCAAGTGGCAGAGGCTGAGAAACTCAAGGCTGTTAAGGAGGTTAGTAAGGAGAAGCCTGAGGAAAAGGTGCCTGAAGGAGAGGCAGCAATTGCTAAGAGGAAGCCCAAGCTTAATGCGAAGTATGTACTGAAGAAGAAGGATGATGAAGAGCTTGAAGTCCCAGAAGAAAAGAAGGAAGAGGAAACTAAAGTCCCAGACTTCCCTGCTGCCCATGATGATGAAAAAGAACCAGGTCCTACCAGGTAGTCTGTTTAACTCCCATAAGACATGGTGTATTACTCTTTTGTATTCAGCTACTTAGCGCTCCATTCATTTAAAGATAAATTTAGGGATAAATTTGTATTTTTGAGAAATCCTGTCCTAACAACAAGCTCAGCAATTCTTATCAATATAGTCTGGAGCATAAATGTCAATTGTAATTTTTTCAAATAGTAATTAGCAATTGATTCCAATTGTATTTTAATCATTAAGCTGTTTTATTGATTTGCTGACTTTATTTCTTATGTTAAAAAGTTGTCGTGTTGCATTAGCATTGTAATTATGTAAGTTAAACTAAAATTTAACCTGAAAACTCTTAACCGCCATCAATTTTCTTTCAGCACTGATGAGCACAAAGAGATCAAGCATGAGCACACAGCAGAGGTCAGCAGCACAAATACGAAGTCCTTTGTGACTGAGAAACACTTTGTAGTGGAGGAACACAGGAGCAGCCGTGTGGTAAAGGAAGAAGAGGAGGGTGAGAAAAAGGAAGATGAGGGCTGTGCTCTCTTCCTGGCAGATGACATTGAAATCCAGATAAACCTAAAACAAACGGTGGAGAGAGAAAACAATGCAGAAAATGATGATGATGATGATAATCCTGAACGTTACTTTATTGGTAAGTCAAAACTTGTCTACTACTAATCATAGTCAGGAGTTTAAAGTTTAAAGAACTGAGTTTTACTTACCCAGTTTTAAACCAGTTTCTTGGTAGAGAAAAAACATTTCAACACTTTGTCAAAACAGGATGATCATTACAAAATCAGTTCATAATATTGTTGAATATGTCGGTATATGGTGGATGACATATAAAAGCAATTACAATACACAATTATACTAATTCAAATCTGTCTCTTTTACATAGTCATTAGAGAGCATAGATAAGTAAAATTTTTAACTGTAAAAAGCCTGAGTATACATTCTATAAAGCATTATTTCTGGACAACAACTGTGTTATGGCAGCCATGTACCCCTTCAGAAGCTTCACTGTAGCTAAAGAACAATGAAGTTTGCATGTTCTCACATTCTGCATAACCTATTAAAACAGTTTCTACCCTTCCCCTTGTCCTCCATCCTACTTTAGACACCACTTGTCCTCCGACAGCTCCTTTTAATCATCGCATTGTGTCAGCCAAGCCCAACCACATCAGGAACTTCTACACCATCAACTGGCAGGAGATCCTTGGCGGGTGAGTGCTGGGCTTTTCTGATCTCTGTGAAATGTAAAAAAAGGAACTGATGTTGACTTATCACAGATCAAAGATGGTAAGAAAGAGGTTCTTGATTCCTGTAAAGTTGAATTGTATAACCCTGCCCTCATATCGTCTCCTCTCCCATGTTTCATAACTTCAGAGTCACTGTAGTTATTTTTAACTTTACGACTGAGCAGTATGTGAAACTATATCCCCAGTGGCAGCTGGTAGCTAATCACTAAGTGTTAATCCATGTCCTCAAAGAGAGACACAACCCAGCTCAGATTTAATGAAATAACAGATTAGGCACAACACTCTCCTGAAACATCCCTGTTTGAACTAAGAAGCAGCTTTTGATTTGTTATGGGAAAACATACAATACTTTCTCTGTCCTGTTTTTACCTTTGTTTCTAGGCCTCTAGGATGTAAAGTCTCAGCTAGCAATTATAGGAATCTGATTTTTCTCTTTCTCTCTTGAAGGGGTCGTTTTGGCCAGGTGCACAAATGTGTTGAAAACTCCTCTGGCCTCACTTTGGCAGCAAAGGTCATTAAAGCCAGGAATCAGAAAGAAAAGGTACAACACCTAATGTACACTGTCAAGATAAATTCATACTAGTTTGTTTACAATGAGAACCGTAACATATGTTATAAAAGGCAGGAGAGGGGCCTAGTCACAGATTTTAGTACATGCTAGTACAATACAAAACCACACTTGGAACAGGAACAGAGGGAATACTTCTCACCTACTGTAGGTGCGAAATATCTGACCTTTAAGAGATGATGCACCGTCTCACAGTAGAGAACAACTGACACCTCTTGTTGTGCACTTGTTTGTCTGTGTATGTGTGTTCGTGCTTGTCTGAAACTGTTTGTTTGTCTGCTTCTGCATCTGTCCATCCGTCTGTCTGTCTGTTTTTTTGATAGGACGTGGTGAAAAATGAGATCCAGGTCATGAATAATCTGGACCATGCCAACCTGATCCAGCTCTATGCAGCTTATGAGTCAAGGAATGACATCATCCTTGTACTTGAGTAGTATGCTCCTTTTATATTTTCAGCACTATTAAACAAAGTAGATGTCCATCACTGGCTTACACCTGACTTAGAGTTACTTCAGTAATACCCAGCTGAACTTCTATTAACTTATTCATTATTAAATAATTTTGCATGGCAAATTTATACTTAAGAAAATGAACAACAAAAATAAAACAATACCTTCAAATAAGAAGGTGTTTGATTGGTGGTTTTTTAATATACATTTGTCTTTAACCTTAGTATGGATGGAGGGGAGCTGTTTGACAGGATCATTGATGAGAACTACACTTTAATGGAGCTGGATGCTGTGGTGTTCATCAGGCAGATCTGTGAGGGTGTGCAGCACATGCACAGAATGAACATCTTACACCTAGATTTGAAGGTAACAAAGCCACTCTTATTTGTTATGACATTTTTTCTCAAAGTTGAATCAATAAATCACTTAAGTTCAATTGTTTTGTTACAAATTTCAGCCAGAAAACATTCTCTGTGTGAGCAGAGTCACAAATAAGGTCAAAATCATCGACTTTGGTCTTGCCAGGATGTAAGCACTTTGATTTTACTGACTGATGTTATCATACTAAATGTTAAATGTACAGTAATTGATACACCATGAACTTTGATTATATCCCCATGTAGGTATAAACAAAGGGAGAAGCTGCGAGTTAATTTTGGCACTCCAGAGTTTCTCGCTCCTGAAATTGTAAATTGCGACTTTGTGTCGTTCAACACAGACATGTGGAGCCTCGGCATCATCACCTACATGCTGTAAGTAAGCACACAAACACACGTACACATTTAAAGACTACTGCTAATGACTGTTTGTCTTTTTTCGTTAGTCTGAGTGGTCTCTGTCCCTTCCTTGGTGATGATGACAGTGAGACTCTGAATAACATCTTGGGCTGTCAGTGGAACTTTGAGGAGCAAGAGTTTGTAGACACATCCGAAGAAGCCAAAGATTTCATCTCCAGACTTCTCGTTGTAAATAAAAGGTGTCCTTCTTCCCTATATATCTTACTATTTCACTGTTCTGAAATTGAGATTAACATCTTGTGATATTTACCATTAAAATGCAGTTTATATATTGAATAATATTTATGCGTCATTGTGTTTCTCATCAGCTGGAGAATGGGAGCATCAGAGGCCTTAAGACATCCTTGGCTATCTGATTCAGCGCTTCATCATCAGCTTTATACAAAGGTAGGATACACAGTTTGTTTATTATTTATCTTATTTATGATAAAGGGATGTGGAAACCCATGTTATGTGTCACTGTCCAATCATTTGTTTTAATGAACCATTTATTGTATTATGCTGACCCTCTTTATTTCACAGAAAACTATGTGCAGATCCCGACGATCATCATGTGCATCCACAAGTAATAGTTAAGGTTGGTCTGTTGTTTTGGTTTAACTTTTTAATACACTAACCTTTGTTGCTGTGACTTATTTTGCATTGAGCTGATCTAAGAAATGCTGATATGACATTTAACTCGTCCACAAGGGGGAAGCATGTGTCAAATTTTGTGCAGGACAGCACAGCAGCAACAAGAGATACTGCCTGCCTATTATAGATTTAATAGTAGTCATCTGAGAGTGAAGTGTTTCACATTGTCTTCTTTAGGACTCCACAATGATATGACAGCTTCATCTGTGGCCACGTGGACCAACCCTCCTTTCCATGTAGAATACCTACATTTCAGTCGGTGTTGTGGCATGGATGAAATTGTGGCAATCTCATAAACCTCCACTGTATTGTGTTAATGTAGCCGATATGCCAAAGTGATATATGGATGGATGGGATTTAGTAGCAGATAGTTATTGTGCTGTGTTCTTCCTTGAATAATGTATACATTCACCACTGTAATGCTAGACAGGCTGAACAAAAATAACAAGAATGCCTTATAACATTAATTAGTTGCCATGCAATAAATGCAACCTTTGTGAAGCTTACGATAATCAGTTGAAACTGTTAGAAAGATACTAACTCAATTGTATCAGCTGAGATTGCAGTTGTTTTCTTGCATTATACTACTTTGTAAGGTGTTTTATTATTTTTTCATCCTGTTTAGTTGGCATTTTGAAAAAGTACTGAGCTTGTAAATGTGACCTAGCTTCATTAGACACATGTTATCATATACTCTATATCATATCAGCTTAGTTGGGTGTGGCACCTTTTCCTTGAATGTTGATCTACTTCACTTTTGAATGTCCACTCAGTGATTCACCCTCACTTATCTCAAACAGTGTTGTCATTGTTTGCTGCTGGTTTTTATTTTCAGTACTGTATGAAGGCTGCAGCATGATTCATATTATGTTACTGTAATAATCTGTGTTGCATTGCTTTTCTCCCAGTTCCAGATATTCTTCAGTGTATATATAATGTATGTATGGACAGAAGGGAATTTGTACAGTTGATGTAATGAGCTTTAGTATGTGCACTTTATTAAACAGGCTTTACATGAACCTACCATAGTTCCATTGAAAAGGTTCATGAGGTTAGATTTCCTCTTGTCTCCTGTCTGTTTCGTCCTGCTTTATCCTGGTGTTAATAAAGAAAATACACTTTCACTTCATAACAAACTGTTCTCCAACATAGTTAGTGTCTTATTGGCTAAATGTACAATTTTAATTTTTTGTTGTATGTCTGTAGTCACGCCTTAGAAGATATCTTGAAATAATCTGTGAACAAGGTATGTTTTTAGATGAAATGAAAGTGCAATGTTATGTATGTTGAAGAACAGCAAACATGTTAATAGGTTGGCTTTTAAATTGTTGTAAATTTGGGATATCCCATTTGAGGTAATGATTCACTCTCTCTATAACAAATTGGTCAATTTGTGGCCTCCTAATTCTAAATTTAAGTCTAAACTCAGTTAAATGTTTTCAGCATGATTCCTAGTTCTCTCTTGGGTATATTTAGTTGTGAGACAATCACATAAACCATTTTCACATCTTTAAACTGTTGTTGGGTTATCGAGAGGGCAGCATTCTCTGTATAATTAGAAACAGTCTTCACAAAGCATTTTTTTTCTGTCTGTGACAATGTAGTGAGCTATTTTTGGTGAGAATTTCCCAGTCTCAGCTCAAATCTATTTAAACCGTTAAACACACAAATACAGCCTAATTCAAGATGAAAGTCCAGGTGATTCCAGGAAGCTAATAAAGAGCATCTGAGGGAGCCAGTGTGTGTGTGTGTGTGTGTGTGTGCAAATACAGTTTGTCCACCTGAGAAAATAAACCGAGTGTGTGGGATGATGATGATGATGTCGGAAGAATGTGGCTTAGACACAGATATTTTTTAGGGGAGAAAGTGATTATTAATACTTTTATACCAGTGAGAGGAAGAGTTGAGAAATACAAACAAACAAACAAAACAATAGCAAAAACAATTAAGCAGAATGACAAAGAGGAAACATGAATGTAAATTTGAAGAGCATGTGTACATTTCAAGGTACATTTCCATAAAGTATACCTTAAATTCAGCCTTCGTTCTCCTGTAAAAGGCACTAAGGTACTATTTTACAAAACCCACATGGTTAGGTATGGATAAGTGCAGTCTTCATAGGGGAGTGCCTTGGGGAACATGTTTAGTTGTACAGAAATACCAGAAAAACAAACTGCACCACCAAGAAGCATACTGTAGTAACCCAGTAGTTAACCACTTTTATATCTAGTAGTTTGAGAGTAGCCACAAAAAATAATTCACAGTTTTTAGGTTATTTTAATTTTCAGTCCATTTCGATGTATATAGTACGCACTGGACAATGACAAGAGAGATGGAATTACTTCTTAGGAAGTGAACAAGAAGAGAGATGTGCAATTAAAAATGGAAAACTGAGAGAAATTATTTTATGTCGGCTACTGCACATGGATAATTGTTAACACTACAGTGAACCAAAGTCGTGATGTCACGCTCTCAAAAAATTCTATACTTATGGAAGCACACAAAGTAAGCACATACTGTTGAGAAAAGCTCTGGTCCAAAGCTAGATTTTTGGACTTTAGTGTAGTTACAAACTGTGGATGGATTCTCAGTGATGTTTTCTTACTTCTGGAACAGCACCAGAAGTTCTGGTTTCACTTCAGCTAACTCTCTATATATACTGAGGTTGTGTGTGTGTCTGTGTGTTTTTTTTTAAAGATATTTGTTTATTTTCACCCATCATTTTGTCAGACACAAAGGTTTCATGTAAGGAACAGTTCAGATAGAGTTCATACATTCCGCTATTACAAACACAGGCAAAGAGAATTTTAGTTAATAGCCATTACTCTGAACTCACGAGTCATTTGCCAAAACAGGTGATACTGATTTCTTCCAAGGATTTTGCATAGCTTTTTGGGAGCCTGGGGGATGGAAGCTGAATGCAAGCTCTTTCTGTATCCCTGGTCCAAGGCCCAGGTTGTAATGGTGAGAAATTCAAGGATAAAAAAAAAAAACCTCCTAGAGGCTGCCCCTCCACTCCCTCACCCCTAAGTCCCCTCCATCCACATCTCCAGAGGCGATCTCAAGGAGCCAAACCAAAACCAGATGGACTCATTGGACCTAAAAATAACAAATAGTGCCTGTGTTCCTGTCAGTTAGAGACACAGGAGCAAAGAAGATGGGGGTGAAAAAATCTTACGGACATGCCTAATTCTGTGTCCTGTTATATAAAATATGAATATTAGCAAGCATTTTAATACAGTATATATGAACAAAACGACAGAATTTACTGTTGGTTTGTTGTAGCTGAAGGTGGTTTGCTCAGTCCAGGCAGGAGTTTGTAAGGGGTAGGGGTGTTGGTGCGTGTGTAAAAACGGGGTTGCATTCAGAAACCAGGTGCCATCTTGGCTTTCGGGAAGGTAGGCTGTCAGCAGTGATTCAGATGTCTGAGTGGTATGCTCATTGGTTTGCTAGCCAATACACCTACTGCCCACACACACACACATACAGTAAGAAAGGGGAGAGTGATCCCAGGGCTTCTGACAGCCACCCTGCAGATTGACTAAGAAAGTGTCCTTTGTAACAGGAGTTTCCTGTAAGTAATTAAGAAATATAGGGCCCTGCTCAGAAGGGAGGAGACGGGGCCTGAGGTTGTAGGTGGCTATGTATCCCCTACTCCGTTCTTCGTTTCATGTATGTGCCCTGTAGCTGGCCCTGATGTTTGTCCAAACAAAAGGTGCCTTTTCTCCAAGGAGGTCCAGAGAGATGAACAGAAAGTTCTCAGGGCCCAGGGACAGGTGGTTCTGATCTGTGTGTGTGTGTGTGTGTGTGTGTGTGTGCACGTGCGAAAAAAGGGTGGGGAGGGGGTCAGTAGACCACATTTATCTTCAGTTAATGGCAGTACACGTGTTGTCACATCCAGCAGTGGGAACATGCTGGGTGTGATTTGTTTTTTTAAAAACACTGAGCTTTGCCACACTATGTCTTAAACATCTAATACTATGTCATATCCCCCTAAAGTGATTCATATGATTTCTACTCCCTAATGTGAGCAGCCTCACAACAGCAGTGCACAGACAGCAGCAATCTGACTGGTTTTACCTGTTGCCAAAAAAGCCTGCAACATGACTGATCCGGACATGTGCAGGGTATTTGTGCTTATATGTAATTATTTTATGTAGATTTGGTGTCACATTAGCGATTCTTAATAATTCTTCCTCGGCTCAACAGCCTTTCTCTTCAACATCCTCCCATATCAGTTTTCTATGCAATGATAAATGAAGTATAAAACACATTCCTGGTTATTATATATTTATAGTAGAGACTTGGGGATAAGGCAAATAACTGTGGATTATATGCTTATAGTCTTAAAGTGGCCGTAATCAATGAGAGTGTGAATCAGGCTGCTAGATATCCAACTTGTAACTAAACAGATGTGGCTAACTCTGCCGACTCGAAACAAAGTTGTTCTGATTGCAACAGGCAAAAACTGACGGTACCTGTCCAGCACCACCTGGTGAACATACTGGTACAATTATTAGTATAAGTGACAGACAAACACCATAAAAAGGAGAGTGAATATCAGAGTTGCATTCATCAGGTGGACACAGGTTCAAATGAATGATACTCTTGCTTTGCAACTGCTGGATACATAAAGAGGAAGCTGTTTGCTAACAGGCTTATCATATGTAAACTTAAAAAGTGTTAATATGTTGCTGTTGTGTTTACAGCTTGTTTTTGCTGCCCCCAATTTGCCAAAATCTCTTAATTTCCCGTCTTTTTAATGAAGTGGTTCTCTGCATTTCATTATATTCTATAAATGCCTAAAATAATTTATTATTTTATATTAAACAACCATAACTAGAAACCTGAAGTATATTATGTGATTGGTCCATATTGCTCCATACTTTTTGGTAACAGTACAACATGACTTCTGAAATGAAAACAGTCATCTCCCACCCACACGCAGATTGATTTCCAGACAAGGGGGAAACACGGCAGCTTGCTGTGTCCTGTGTTTTCAGATGGTGGTTTCAACACTGATCAAATGGCCATGCTGAAGCCTTTAATGATCTTGGCGGTTCCCCACTGTTGGGTCATCTGCTTGGCTCCATATCATCTCTAGGCTGGGCCCTACTGCTGGTCAGGCGCTCCCACAATGGGGCCCTTTCCATCAGCTTTGTATTTACTCATCACTCTGGCTCACCCCTCAGTCTGCACGGGGTCTCTGTTCAGTCTGCCAGGCCTGCTGAGAGGCCTCTGTGGCTGAGAGAGCCATAATCCATCAGTCCTCTGTGTGTGTACATTCTCCGCTCTTTTTATGCTTTAGCTCTTGATGAGGAGTCTTTGCTGAAGTTACTAAATGGAGCCAAGCGTCTTGTTCAAACAGACTAAAGAAGCATGTTGTCTGTGTCTGAGCTTAGCATGTTAACACAAGCTTGTATGCAGTTGTGGCTGTATGAACATGTTGCTTGTGTGTGTGTGTGTGTGTGTGTG